ATTGTCTTGTTTTTGGTGTGGATCTGCTTGTGGTGATGTCTTAGGGTGGGTGATGTCAATAATCGTCACAATGTTCTTTTGAAATATAAATGTTGTGCGCTTGTGTTTAAAGCGTATATTAAAGCATATATTTGTCAGTAAATTAATAACAATATTATTAAACCACTTATACGAAACAGTATAAAACAAACGTATACTTTTACAGAAAATATTATATATGATTTTTATGTCATTTAGTTAATTTCTAATAATCTAAATTAATTATTACATTCGCATAAAATATCTAAAATAAATTATAAAATTTTCCATCAATGTGCTCTAATGAAGATATACAACATATTATAAAGTTATAGTTTTGATTTTAATACAAGCGCTCAATTATATAGACATATCCACGATTGTTTTGAAAATTGATCAATTTTAAGATTATTTTAAATGTATGGTTTGTCAGATTTTGTATTGATTTGATTAATATAATATATAAAGTAAAGTTATATAATTTTATACTATTTACTGAATTGATTTAAAAATAATTTTCATGTTTAAATTCAACTAATAAAAATTTAATAATAGTTATTTATTAATTACAACATGAAAGGTCAACGTAAAATTGTGAGACATAGTCAGCGCAAACATGGGAAACAATTCATCAAAAGATGAGACATCAACTGGAAGTACCGGAGATCGGGGTGAAATTAATAGCAATATCACACAGGTAACTGCAACAAATCAAAATACAGTCCAATTTTTATATGCTTTCCTTAATCTCAAACAGATAGAGATGGAGAATGAGATAAACAATTTCTGGAAAAAACTATTTCGGCAATACCAGGAACAAATTATATCACTTATAACGACATTTGACCCCAACTCAAATCAATACCGAAAAAAGTTAAATATCATACGCTGCGAAATATTTGATAAATATAACGATGAGTTTAAAGATACATGTCCAGCTGAATTAATAACTTATGGTAGAGATATATTAACCTCAATGATAGACAGCGAATACATTCAATGCAGAGTAATTGCCGAAAGTATTACTGACAAAATTGATGAGAAATATCACAATTTAATTGAATTTTTAATCAGTGACTTTAATAAGGAGATGTGCATAGCCATTGATAAGGATATTCTAAGAGATGAATTGAATAATGATTTCTATTCTATTTTTTATCCAGTTTCCAATACGATAATTGACAAGTTCATTTGTGAATCAGAAACAATGACCAAAAATAAACTCACAAACAAAAAAGTTTTAATGATTTTGGAAAAAAATATTAATGAATGTAGTATTAAATACAAACATTTATTCGAATGCCATAGAGATTATTATTATATGTGTGAACAACAAATACTAAAATATAGATACATTTCTAATGAAGAAATTCAAGATATAATAAAAGAAATATCGGTTCCAAACGATTTGAAATTGAATTTATATCTTATGGAAAAATTACATAAAATGTATGATAAGTGTGCCCAATATTTTTTGGCTAAAATTAAAATAATTCTTGAGTGTGAAAAACAAATATTGAATAAATCAATAAATGTGCAACTCAAAAAATACCAACAACTATTTAAAATGATTTTAAAATCGAAGTATTACTCTATTTCAGATATTAATCATATTCAATCTATATTAAAATTTAACTGCATAAGAACACTGCAAGAAGCATTAACATTCTCGGTCAAACAAGTTGAAATAAAAAACATCTTTAATAATAAATGTCACGAACAACTTAACAAGATTTATAAACAAGTTACGTTTGAATATATACACAAATTGGAGCAATTGTTTGAATTTAATAGTAATTTCTTGACAAGTATGCACCAAAAGTATTGCCAAAATGTTCGCAAACATTTATTGGACAATTGTATATATATCGATAAGGACACATTGCAAAAGTTGTTAATAAAAGAGTTAATGATTATAATACGAACAATACCCGAAGTAATTGAGCCGATTGCACAGCAATTGGATCAGGAATTAATTAGAAAATTAATTTCAAAGCACAGCGAAGCAGTCAAGTTGGAACAGCTGGAACAAATCCGTGATTATAAACTCGACAATTTTTGTAGAGCACCGATAACGCCAACGATGGCTATTTATTTTGAGAAATATATTCTGATAGGTGCATATTTTGATTATCAAGTTCAATTTGTATCCAATGGTGATATTGAGAAAAAGGACAGTCCGAGTGAACATCAAGTTTCCAATTGTATAGCTTTCAGCGATAAATTCATATTTGGGACAAAAGCCAAACACTATTTAAAAGACAGTCAGTACAACGAGTTTGATGTGAAGGATCTGTTGGGTAAGGATCGAGTGGACTCCGAAGAATTTATGCGATTCCTGTTTAGCGATTGGTTGCCTAACACACCACGTAGTGTACGTGTCCGGTCGCGTAAACCCGGTTACAGTCAGGTCGATGGCTTAAACGTTGAGACACTGGTGTCACTACAGGTGCTCGACATTAAACACAGGGCCGAGAATGCGATGAAAACACGCGCACAGAAGGCTGTGTTCTGTGTGCCCACACGTTATAACACTAAACAGAGGCGCGCGATGTTAGACGTGGGCCTAATCGCAGGTTTTGACCGAAACAATGTCCATATTGTCAATGAAATGACTGCCGCAGCCATTACTTACGTTATTGATTCTCACCGTAAAACATTTGCCAAAGAGTTAATAATGATATTTGCCATTCACCAAGATCAGGTCGAATGGGAGCTAATTAAATTGGATAATACTTTAATTGAACACCTAGTTTATGGTGTGGTGAACGATTTGAGTAATTTTAACAGCGGATATCCAGGTTATAATAACCAGTGTCGTTTTAAAGATTATATATCAAACACTTTAGTTTTACAAAGATTCACTATGAGCGATTTGAATCGCGTAATATTGATGGGTAATTTGGAAAGATTCTCCGAGTTTAATGATTTGATTGCGGCCACATTTACCAAAGATATTACGGGCAAACATAACATCGTCTATGAATGCGATCCGACAGACGTGATAGCAAAGGGAACCGTATATTTGGGGCAAATGTTGGATAAAATGCTGGATATTATTGATATTAGCGAAATTGTGAGAAATGATATTAAATTGTTTATATGGAAAAATAATGAACCGCAGAGGTGTCGGGACTTGATCCCTATGAACGCCACCCCAATTAAGTATCGTGAACCCAAACTGATGTCAGTTGAGTTGAGTAACGATAGTTTTCCCATCGAGTTGTGTCTCAATGAGGGCGACGCCACGGTTAAGGTGTTTAAAGTGGACAAACCAGAGGGCGTGTGGGCGGGCGGTGTGATATCTCCCTGGACAGGGCTGTCCATACAGTACCACATAGATCAGCTCACTCTCGAGGTATACCTGACGGCCACATTGAAAGAGAAAGTCGGAATGGGAACGCCAATAGACCTCGATGATCGGGCCGACAGGTACGGGCTTAGGCGCCAGTGTATCGATGGACAGCGCAATATAATACGCGAGCTTAGTGCATTCTCGAGCACAGGCTCCGCACAATATACTTCAGCGACTGTTCCCAACCAAACACAAGCAACTGATCTAAGGCCGAGTACAAGGGCTCAGAGTCCGTTTGCTCGACAAGTATCGACGCCCGGCACGTCTACGGCACCCTATTCGGTAGCGATGGGCACATCCGCGGCCGCATCGGCCCTGTCAGACGATCGGGTCCAGGAATTTAGCCAATTGTGTGCCGATATTAGGACCAGACTCGTGACGTGCGCTACGATTGCCACCAAAAAGCGAAATATTTTGCAAAAGCTGTCGGATTGTGAGAAAAGTGTGACACAAAATGGCAATACTTTGGACAAACAAAAGGAGGAATTGTTGCGATTAATTAATAAATATCAATTGACTGATAAATTATTAATATAACAAATCAATTACTTAAAACGTGAGAACTATAGAGACGTGTTACAAATCATGTCGATACTTTTAAAACAAATATAATAAATTATTTTATTATTATAACTTTAAAATTTATTTATTCATGTATTTATTTGGGTTAATATAATGTTTTATATTTTTATTTGATTAATTCTTTTATGTAATTGAAACATTACTAGAATCTAAATATTTTGGTATAAAACTACTAATAATAATTTAAATTTTAAAATCTAATAATATGCACATAAATTGAATTTTCTTAACAGTTTTATTATGGTTAGATAGGCCAGTATGTTATTGATTATGGCTCATTGTAACAATGATTTTATAATGAGGCATGTCACATGTTTTATAATACAATATAAAATTTTTATCAATTTACTATATTTTCTGTGTTAGTAACAATAATAAACAATTCACACTAGAGATTGAAAAATGTTAAATATTTTTGTTTCGTATCGTATCGGTATTGCAAGCATTATAAAAGTAAGTGTCGGTATCGCGAGTATCTTTAGAATCGCAAGTATTGTTACTATCGCAAGTGTTAGTTATATTTAGCATGCGCAATCTCATTTGTGATGCCTTAAATAATTCTTTATTTTACAATGTTAAATTAATTATTTAAAAATTCACTACAATTAATTTACCAAGTGATTATAATTTATCACAAAACATTTACTTTAAAATTAATAATGTTTAAAAATTTAATAAACATTATTAGTGTCGTTAATGTCGCTAGTATAGTGAGTGTCGCAATACTAATATCGGTATCGTATCGTTATTGCGATACCGATACCAATAATCAGTATCGCTAGTATTGAATCGTGTTGATTGTAACATACAATATGTATGTTTACATAACTATTCTGATGAATAGAATAATGTTCAATTTATTTTAATGTTCAAAATATAATAAATAAAACAAACATTGTTAATTCCATAAAGATTTTTTAAATAAATAAATATTAATACATGTGTTTGCACAGTCATTTATACGGATAAAACTTATATAACATAATAATTCATACATTTAATTAATGTGTAAAGCTATAATATAGTTACTATATTATAGTACATTTTATAAAAATTTCTTAATTATAAGCAATTCTTTAGTAAACAAACGGCCCACGTTTTCCTCGGGTAAAGTGCCCTGGGATAGCACAGTGGTCTTTACTTTCAAAATACCATTACCGCTTACGCAAAACTCAATCGACACGGGTTGTTTGCCGGCCTTATCGGGCGGTATATTCATCACAACAAACCGACCCAATAGTGTGTTATTAGTGGCCACCGGGTCCTCGCCTTCATAAACTTTTACCTCGATCTCGGTTTGATTGTCACATGCTGTTTGGTACTCTTTGGTACTAGGAATGCCGTCTACCCGGGACTGGGCCGGTATGATAACGCTTATACCATTATCACGCTCCTTTACGCCTTACGTGAACGGCGTTACGTCCAAAACCTATACGTTATCCTGTAAGTAAGCTTGAGTGCCGTTCAGATTGGCCGCCTAATGGTCATCATGTTAATTAATATATTTGATTGTAGTAGCTCAAATTTTAATTCAGTACCTTTATTGCCGCGCCTTCAGCCACGACAAGCATCGGATTTAATGACTGTAACGGTTGGCGGCCATTGAAATATTTTTTGATCATATTCTTGACGTAAGGAATATAAGTCGAGACGCCGACCAGTACTATATGATCAATCTCGTCGGGTTTCATACCAATACCGTTTTTAACACCGGCCAGAGTACGGGTCACGCAATCCATTGTGCGGGCAAAAAGCTCTTTGTTTAATTCTTCCAACTTGGCTCGTGTCAACTCCACCTTCATGTCGTGACCGTCGGCGAAATTGTCTACAGCGATGGTGGCCTTCAGCGCCTCTGAAAGGCGACATTTTTGTTTCTCGCATTGGTCTTTGAGCCCTCGATAAGCCCGATCGCCCTCAACGGTGTTCCGGTCAACCATAATCCTAGTCTGGGCGTAAAACTCGCGCAAACAGTAATCAATTATATTATTGCATATATCGTGTCCGCCTAGTTGGTTATCGCCGCCCACTGCTATCACATTTATTTCACCAATAGACAAGTTCAAAACAGTCACTTCCAAAGTACAGCCTCCAAAATGGTATATTAAAACAATCCTTTATTATAAAACGTATTTTAAAACACAAGAATAAAATATAATAATTACACAAAATAATTTTAATACATTTACACATTCTCAATTATTTGTATTTATATACTAAATATTCAAATAAGCTTCAACAAACCTGCTGCTTGTGTCGTCAAACCGATCCAGCTTATGGAACAAAGCGGCGGCAGTAGGCTCATTGATTAATGTTAGTATCTTAAGACCTGCCATAATACCAGCATTAGTAGTAGCTTCGAGTTGAGCATCAGTAAAGTACGCAGGTACGGTTATAACGGCATTTAGCACAGGATGCCCTATGTCCTCTTCGGCCATTGCTTTTAATTTGCATATGACTTGTGTCAACACTTCTTCGGGCAAAAGTTGCCGCGACTCACCGTCCACTTCCACTTCCACACCAGCAGAGCCATTAATATCTACAATGTTAACAGGCGAGTGTTTTATATATGAAGTAATTTCCGGGTCGTTAAACGGTATGCCAATCAACCGTTTTACCGAATAGATTATGTTGTGGCGATTGGCCAATAAGTTGTCTTTTGCTTTGTTGCCTACCAATATCTCTTCGTTGTCTTTGTACTCGACATAACTGGGCGTTAACACGTTATTTTTACTATCATGGCATACTACAACTTTACCATCTTTCTTAGTATCACACCGTTTATAATAAGCCACACAGCTGTTGGTCATGCCGAGATCTATACCAATGGGAGGTATTGTCGTTGCATTTAGATTGTTCGCTTTTACAACCACATCGTAGGCGAGTTTCAATATATCGTTAACAAATGTAGTGAACAGGGTAAACGAGATGTGACCACGTTCTGATTTAAATTTTGTCAAAGCATCAAAGACCAATTTCTTATGAAATGCATTCAAGCATTGGCTTTCTATATATAGCTGATCGCCACATTGTTTTTCCATCTCTTGGTTATACCATTTTATAACTCGGTCCAATAGTGCAATTTTTGCGAAACGCTTACAGTCGACCACATCCGCGAACACGTCTCGCATTTCGCGTTCGGTGGCGTTTAATGAGGCGTTGAAGACAAAAAGATCCAACCGTTTCCCATATATGAGTGTGTTTTCCGATACAATTCGAGTGCGTATTTTACTACTCTCGTCAACAAACTGTTGATTGTCCTCAGTATCTGTCGATTGTATCCACGCATTTATCCTTTCCTCATATGTTTTGCACAGATTTTCCGAAACTGTAATCATAAAAGTCTTTTCCTTATCCGTGCGAATCCGGTTAAGCTCATGATAGCCTTTATATTTGTCCCTCACGTATGAGTCTAATGCTTGTCTGTATGGCTCAATGGACACGGCATCTGTGTCAACAATTGCCCCTGTTAACTCATCGCCCAAGGAGCTTAATGTGGTACCGTTTAAAACATCTAACTGTTCTTCTTTGTAATATTTGTAATCGGTTGCAAATAGTTCCATGATTTTCTGTAATACATTATAAGATAATTTAACAATATAACATATTGTAATGATTGAATCAATAAACCTGATCATATTTACTCTTGAGTGATGCGATAATTGTCTCGTATTGTGTTATCAACTTTTGTATCGCTCGACTGTTATTACTTTTCACCATTGTTTCTTCGTATTCCAATTGATTTAATAACTAATTATTAGTATAATAATTATTAATAAAATTATAAATAAAATTATACTATAATAATTTTAATATAAATATATTTATAATAAATATTGTATAAAGTTTTAAAAATTGGTGAAAAGTGCCTAACTTATACACCAGTTGGAAGTATTACCCAGACCTCTTTCAAAGTGAATTACTCTTCACTGGATTATCCAATTTTGATTCTGTCTTCAGTAAAATAAACAAAAACTCCCCAAAAATGACCTCCGTAAATGGACACAAAGTATTCATCCGATCTTGATGAAACTTGGATTCTGGTGCCTAGAGATGTCAACTTAAATTACAAAACTAATTTCATAATTCTAGCTACACTCCTTCATACTCAAGGCACCTATTAATCATTTAAATCCAATAAATCATCACTATAAAAATATAATCAGATTTCAATAATGACGATAAGAACAGAGTAATGAAAGAAGTATTACATATATCAAATTTAAAATCAAAATATGTGGTCAAATATCACAACTCGTGGCAAGAATTGAATTTTATATATATTCAGATGGAGTACTGCTCACAAACACTCGGATCTGTACTGAAGGACAAACACATAGTGTTTGACAGACAACCGAAGGAACCGATGAATGTTTACGAGTATTTCATTTTATGCGAAATATTTCGGGAACTTTTGGAATGCCTTCAATATCTGCACAAATTGAAACCACCGGTCATTCACCGCGACTTAAAGCCACAAAACATATTAATTTTATACAACAATAAGTACAATAGATTTTTAAAACTCGGTGATTTTGGTTTGGCAACTGAGCATAGGCAATCAATGACAAGGGGTGTAGGAACTAAAAATTATATGGCTCCCGATGTTACGTTTACCAGTAACTATGACTTTAAAGCAGATATTTATAGTCTAGGGTGCATTGGACTCGAAATTTTCGAGATAAACATTATGTATGTAAAATCTAACAAATTAAAAAAAATTATACCAACTTTATACAATATTTATTAAAGTATTCAATATTTATATGAATTATTTTTATTATATTCAGTGATATAGATAAATACAACATAACATCATTTACATCTAATGCTAACAAACTTTACGATTCAATAAGCAGTATGACTGAATCGTTTATCGTCAAGAGACCTATCAGTGGTCAAGTGCTACAAGATTATAATCACTGGTCAATTGATAAACAAATAATTAAAAGCAATTATAACGAATTCAACGAACTATTAGATAAACTAGAACAAAATAATAATTCATTTTTCTACGATGTATTAGTAGTAAAAACAAATACTACGCACAAAATTAAACCCGATTTTGGACAGATGGACAAACAACAAGAGATCCAAGCCAATCATAAAATAATTGAATTGGTCAATGAATTTAAACATAATATTTATAGCCATATTAAGCCCGATCATACACTGAGTCAAATTATTGACGTCAAAAGAGAGAATATAATAAATAAATTTAATAAATTTACCGCAGAAGAACCAGATCAGTTTGCTATTCATAAGGACTGGGTAAATATATACACCAGTTGGAAGTATTACCCAGACCTCTTTCAAAGTGAATTACTCTTCACTGGATTATCCAATTTTGATTCTGTCTTCAGTAAAATAAACAAAAACTCCCCAAAAATGACCTCCGTAAATGGTTTTAACTTAATCCTAAAATTCTGGGATATAATTACAAAAAACCTCATTTTTGCCATTTTCTACATTGAAATAATGTTAAATTCAAACTCAATTTTTAAGAAAAGTCACAAACTAGTCCTATGTAGTTTTTTATGCTGAGTTTGAATATTTAACTAAAATTTTTGTACCTTGAATATTTTTCGAG